ATCAAACAGCCAGTTAAAACATGAAAAATAGTAATAAATAACCGGTTTTGGTTTCATTAATAACCTGTAATTAATTATGAATATTTTATAAATTACGCAAAATATCGCATTATTTATAATTAAACTTCAAGTCTATTATAAGGAATAAGGTGGTGGATTCTTATTCGAATTAATATCTAAAATGCTAAACTTTCAGCTGCGCCTACTGGCGGTCCCTAGGTTCCCTGAATTTTTATTCGGAGATTAAAACACGTTCTAAATACCTAGAAATACCCGAAAAAAATCCAAAATCGGTGTTAGAAAACTTTTCTTGCCAATTTTAGGATTTCGACATGGCGGCGTCGCCGTGCTTCGGCAACATTTTGGCTCGAGCTGGTCGTTTTCGGCTAATTTTGGCCGATTTTAGCTGATTTTGTACTCATCTCTGTGAGAAAATACGTTAAGGGACCTTACTTGGCTGAAAAAAGTCAAAAAACAGAAGCTTACCGGCGGCAGAGTTTTTCGGTGCTGCAGCTCTGCCAGCTCATCTTTGCAGTTGGGCGTTTTTCTTTGGTCAACCTGTGGGAAATAAAATGATGAATATAATGGTGAAAAAATTATACAAAATGAAAATCAGGAAGGAACTCATTGGAGGTGGTTTTTTATTTTTCTTACGGCGGCGGCGCCGGACTTTATCTGTGATTTTCGGCTAATCCGTCGATTTTTTTGCTCCGATTTGGCCATGAGGGTGTTCAAAATCAAAATTTGAGCGATTAGGAGAATTTTTATCTTTTTTGGCGGTCAGAGATGGCTCCAGTGCGTCAGTGGTTGACTCCCTTCCTAGTGATGGGTTCTTCTTCTCTGGCAGGGGGGTGGGGGGTGGTAACTAGGGTTAAGGTTTGGTGTGAAGTGAGGTATTTATATCCATCTCCTTTTAATCCATACCGTTCATAGCATTTGATTTGGACCATCCGATCGCGTTTAAATAGAAAATGAATATGGATCATTTATCGTAATTTGATCTGGACCGTACAATCGCGTTTAAAGATGGAACGAATATAGAGAGTTCATTGTGTTTAATCGCGATCGTCCGATCACGCATGAGGAGAGAATGAATCCGGACTGTTCACACGCGCGGGAACAAATCCGGATCGTCCGGTTATGGGTACATGGATTGCCAGCGTGGCCTCCTGCATGGCACCGCGTCAGCGTACCTCACCACGCAGCACGCTCCGGTTTGTCGAGATTGCTGATTGGGCGATTCTACGTGGTACATTTTTTTTTAAATTGCATTTTGACCCATAATTTTCGATTTTTCTTTTAAAAATATTTACAGAACTCAAAATTTCACTCATTTTCTTTAAAATTATTTTTAATTTCATCTTCCGCTATTTTTTCTTAATTTTTTATATTAAATAAAAATTCATAAATTTTAAAATTATATTTTGTACATTAATTTTAAATATTTGTAAAATTAATTCCGGATATTACACACAACACTTTGTTTTATCCTATATAATTTAACTAATTATATAATTAGTTATATATGAGCATTTCCTTGTGTGTCTTTGGGTGATGAAAATAGAATAAGACTTGAGTAATTTCCACACCTAA